TCTGTAAATCGTTTTCTTCCTTCCACGGTGGTTGACGCTTCACAGCATAGAGCATCTCCATCATCTGAAGTGTTTGCGGTATTGCCTTGTGGATTGGAGTTTTTATTTAGACTCCAACAATCCTTCTTCAAATGACCATTCTTTCCACAGTTGTAACACTTTAAATTCTTCTTGCTCCTCGACTTCGATCTACCATATTTGTGACTGCTGCTTTGGCCACGTTCTGTTGATCTCCCTCTCATCGTTGTCATCGTTGTTAACGCTTCTGCTTGTTGCAGATTTACTTGTCTGTCTTCTTTGTTCTTGCGCCGATTTTCTTCTTGTAGAACAGCAGCTGCAACGTCATCGAAGACTAGACTGGTGACATTACTGTTTGTCAAGTTGATGATGAGTTGATCGTATGAATCCGGTAGACTTTGAAGTAGAAGTTCAGCACGTTCTTGTTCTCCTATTTTACAGCTTAAGGATGTAAGCTGAGAAAATAAGGTGTTCAGTGTATTTAAGTGCTCCGTCACTGAAGTAGATTCTGGCATACGGAGAGTGTACAATTTCCTCTTAAGGAAAATTTTATTGTGCAGCGATGTGGCCTCGTACAATTTGATGAGATGATCCCATATCTCTTTAGCTGTCTTTTTCTCCTCGATGCTTGACAATACTTCATCTGCTAATGCTAGATGAAAGTTTGCCATAGCATTCCCGTCCATCTCGTTCCATTTGATGTCATCTATGAAATCCACCGGCCTTTCATTGATAGCCGCTAGACACCCGTCTTTCCTTAGGATGGCTTTCATCTTCAATTTCCACAATGAGAAATTTCTCCCATTGAATTTTTCAATATCAAATTTCGTTGCCATAGCTTCTTCTACGGATAGCTCCCACTATTTTACTATCGTGAATAGTTCCCTGGAACCTTCAAAGAATGGGTAATAACTTCTTATTTTCTTATGTTGGAGGATCCACCTTTTGGTGGCAACCACAAAGACAATAAGCAGATATTACACACTCTAATCTAGCTCTGATACCAATTGTTGCGAAAGACGGCTATCGGATAGAGCAAAATCGCAACTGATAATTTGAGAAAATAAAAATGAAGATAAAAGAGACACAAAATTTACGTGGAAAACCCCTAAAATATTTAGGGTAAAAACCACGGGCAACGGTAGAAGAATTTCACTATGAGAAAATAGGAATTACAACCTCTCTCGATCTACCAAGGAGAAAACAATGATAATTCTCTCTAGGTAAAAAGGAGAAAACAATTCTCAAGAAACTCTCTAAAATCTCTCTAGTATTGGAAGAAAGCTAGAATGCTTTGGGATGATTTTGAAGCTAAATGAGCTAGGGTATTATAGTTGAAACTTGAGGACTAATCTTGTAAATACCCTAAAGTTTAGGGACTCAATTTGGTAGTTATGACTTTATTATTTCAACAATTTGCAGCTACTTTTGACTCCACAATTCCACTTGCACATTCGGTGCATTAATGCACCGAATAATTTGTTGAAATTTCAACAATGGATACGGTCTTTGTTGTATTCCAAGTTAAATTTACCGTGGAGAATGTTTGAGAGTAAGCCACATAGAGATCCATTTTGGGATATAAGATTGAGAAAGAAGTCCACCACATATCCAGTGAACTCCATAGGCTTCCGGAACAAATGAAGGAGTTTCATTACAACGATAGACACCAACATGACAAACCGGTGATCGGCCTCTTCTTCCGCGGTGCCACCACCCACCTCCACCGCACCATGGTTTGAGCCCCACAGCGAGTACTTCAACAGTTTCCAAATACCACCTGTATGTGGTTTAACTTTTAGGTACCGGAAGCCATCATTAATGTTGCTGTCAGCCATTGATGTGTTTGTGTTTCTACTTCAGATTCTGGGAAACTTTCGATAGCATTACGATTTTTTTTTTTTAGTATTAATGGATGAGTTTATTCTTGTATGAAAATCGGCTGCTTTTTATAAACTGCAAGTACAATGGTGTAAAGTTTGGAGATTATCTATCTGTTAGTTCAACGGAATTCGAACAAGTTTCGATATAAGGTTTACACGGACAAGTTTCATCGGTTTATTATACATTGATACTTGAATTTAACAAAAAAAAAAAATCAAATTGGGGTCTAAATTGCAAAAACAAAAAATAGTGCATGAACTCTATTTTATCTCAAATTGATATAAAACTTCAAAATAATTTTAAATTGTACTTATGTTGACTTCATCTTAACATCCGAATAATTTATTAATAAGATATCAACCGATTAAAATAATAATATAAAAAATATAGTGTATTACAGTATGATTGATTATTGCAATACTACATCAATATGTATTAATTTTAAAAATATAAATAAAATATAAATATAAATATAAATATTAAATTACTTTTTAAAATTTAAATGCTAATTTAAAATAAAAAAAGGTAAATATAAATTATTATGATAAATCTTTCATATATCATATATGGTTCACTGACGCCCATAACTAATAGTGACAATAATAAAAGCTTCTGGTTGTGGATGATGTATTGGAAGAAACCTAGACATTTTAAGGATCTAGAAATAGTAAGTTCAGAGAAAATACACACGAAGTTTGTTGAAACCAGGGATGGGAATGAGACCGAACCTGATGGGTTCCTACCCGACTCAATTCGATCGGGTCGATTTTTTAAAAGAATTTTGGGTTCGGGTCGGGTTAGGATCGGATTTAGGCTAAAAAATCTGACCCAATTCGAAAAAAATTATAATTTTACGATATATATTTAGGGATAATTACAATCATACCCCTATATATATTATTTTCTTTCAATTAAATTCCTATTTTTATTGAATAAAATTAATATTTTTTAACAAATATATTATTTGGGGTCGGGTCAGATCAAGTTCGAATTTTATCTCAAAAATCAAGTCGAGTTCGGATTAGGTGGAAGGTAATATATTTTTCGGGTCGGGTTCAGGTCTGATGGAGTATTTATAATTTTGTGTCAAGTCGAGTGAGTCAAAAATTCGACCATACTTGACCCATACCCATCCTTAATTGAAACTAATGCATGTTTTAATTTGTAATATTTTATTTCTAATTTGATCATAATACCTAGTAACTTCTGTTTTGAAAATCGGACCGGACCGGCCGGTTCAACCGGGAACCGTTGCTTAGTCCGGTTCAATCTAAACCGGTTGAACCGCTATTAGTAAACCGGCCAGAACCGATGAACCGTTCGAACCGGACCGGCTGAAAACCGGGAAAAACCAGGATTTTTGTTTTTAAAAAAAAAAACTAAACCAAACAACGTCATTTGTTAAACGAGCCAAGTCGTACTCGAGTATTGCCGAGCTCGACTCGAACTTGAAAACTTTAAAAGTAAGCTCAACTCAACTCAAACTCACAAGCTAAAAATTATCAAGTTCAACTCAAACTCAAAATATAATATTGAAACTTGAACTCAAAAAGGCTTGAACTCAAAAAAAATTTAGAAGCTCGATTGAAGCCTAAAATTCGAGCTTGATTGAAGTGAAAGAATAGTTCACTCAATGCTCACCAAAAGGCTCCATGATTTTGAATGTCAAATTACCTCTATTATTTATAGAAGTTAGTTGTGATGCGCTTCTATGTTTCTTAGCAATGTGAGATTGTTTTGTTCTCATATTTTTACTCTTTAGACTTTTGGGATACTCTTCTATGTTTCTTAGTCATATGGGATTATTTTTTTTCAAAAAAATTAAACCAAACAATATCATTTTGTTATGATTTTTAACCCCAAATTTATTTTTTAATTATAGTTATATAATTATATTTATTATTTAATATGTTTTACCTTAAATATTATGTTGTAGTTAATTTGAATCATTTTGTTTCACTTGATTTTATGGTTTTTAACTTATATATGTTATGACTTGCTTTGAATATGACTTGTAATATAAAAAATTATTTTTATTAAATATTTTTGGTATTTTTATTTAATTTTTTAAATAATTATGACGACGTCCGGTTCTTCCGACCGGTCGGACCGGTTCGACCGGTTGAACCAGTGAACCGGTAGCATGATCGATTCGCTAAGCGGTCCGGTTCTGAAAACCTTGCTAGTAAATTAGCGAAGATATCTGTCTTAAAAGATGTTAAAAGATGTGTAAGTCATATGATATATTTTAAAATGTTAATCTTAAAATATTTTTTAATAAAATAAAATTATAAAATAATTTTAAATTTATCATATTATCATTGTTTTGTTATAAACTAAAAAAATTAAATATATGAAATTAAGACAATATTACAAATAACTTTACAATAGTGACATTTTACTTAAAAAGTGTCATCCTCTAAATGTTCTTAAAATCAAAATCGTTATTTTTTCTAAGTGTGAAACTCATAAATTTTGACAATCTATAACGTATCACATGCCACTTGTAAATCGATGGACCTGATAAAACTTAATCGGACTTGGTCCAACTTTTTGGAGAAATATATTAAGTCTCCTTATTTTTTTAAAAATTTTGAAAAAATAATTATTTTTTAAATCTTTTAATATTTAAAGAATTTATATTAATAATTTCTTCACGGTTCAATCCTGTTGATTTAAATTCTTTCAGATACTTTAGGGATCCATCTTCAAACAACCCCCACCGAGCTTGTCCCAACGCCGAAGAGTTGGGTCCCCATGTTTTGAATGACGAGTGAGTGGGTTGGTATGCCGGGCTGGCAGGCCACAGATGTAGCTCCTGCTAGGAGTCAAGGAAAGTCCGACTTGATTCCCTTTTGTGATCTCTCAATAATGTTCCCAATCTACCAACAGGAAAGAATGGAAAGGGGGGTCTGCCACATAATGCCCCAACAGAGCCGTTCTTCAAAATTTCTTTTAATATGATGCAAGTTTCAGCACCACTTTTCCCTGTTAATAAGTGGGTCCAGACTCTCAATCAACCCCCCTATTATTATTATTGTTACTCTTCAAGAGATAAAAAAACATAAGGGCCACATGACACAATTCATTAGATCATAAATCACTTCTTCAACTCATACACCCGCCATGTCCAAGTTCTTACTTTGTAAAATCGAACTGTAAGTTAAAAGATAACAAAGATGATGGAGAATTATATAGAGAACTTAAATTCTAACAAAGCTTTCTTTTAATGAACCTGCACCAGGCTCAATTTGAGGCTTAGATTTTAGCTTCTGATTGTGGAAGGAACCGAGGCAGCGTTTATGAGAGTGGACCTGAGTGCATTATCACCAAGGCTGGACCTGAGCTGCTATTTGAAAGTGAACCGAATGGTGCCTTCTGCAACACAGCTGATGAAGATCACAGCTGCGTCAAAGTATCCACGTTGTTTGTGGTGTTGTTTAAGGCCTCTCCTAAAGGACCTCCCATTGAACTTCCCCAGGACATCGGTACCCGGTTAGCTTGCTTTTTGGTATGGTCAGTCTCAGTCAGGTCAATGTTCATTTCGAGGCCCATTTGGATCGAATCAAATTCCCGAGATAACCTCAGTGATGAAAGGTCAAGTTTTTCTTTCTCTGGTGAGGATGAGGACGATGAGAACTCTGATGTTGCCATAGGAATAGACATTGAGAGTTGGGTCCGATCTGATTTTAACTCATCTGGCCAATTAATGCTAGAATGATTCTTGGGCCAGCCATCAATGAATTGGTGAGGTGGAGTGTGGTTTTGATTTTCTTGACCAGTGAAGTCAAGGAGAAGACCAAACTCTTTAGAATTCATGTAGGAGCTTTTATGCGAGGGATTAATGAGAGAATCGGAGGCAACATGTCCAAAATAGGTTGGAAATGATTCTGCAAACGGAACACCTTGTTTCGTAATCATAAATGTGGACTCTTTGTATTTCAGGTTGGTGGTGGAAGACAACACCGGCAACACCCGTTGATCTTGTATTCTGCAACAAGCATCTTCTTTATTAGTACAAACATTTGAAATGGAACCACAAGGAACATAATGGAAGACTCAAAAAGTATCCGTGTAAAGATAAAACAAAAGGCAAAATATGATAAATACGAGCCTCTACATGAATTTGATTTAATCTATAAGCAATAGGTCAAAGTACATAGCCAGGAGAATCCAAAGCCCAACTACAAGGTGTGGCCACTGTCACCAAAGTAAAGATGAATTATTAGATCTACGTTAAAGCAAAGAGAAAGGGACAGAGAGTATATATATATATATATATATATAGAAATAATAAGAATGTAAGCAAGTAAAGCAACCGCAGAAGCATAAAGTTTTACCTGTTGGCAAGGGTGCCTGGATAAGGATTGGCAGCACCCAATTGCAAGTTCTTAAACTGGTGCTGCCAAGCAATTGCCAGGCTGTTGGCTGTACCACCACTGGTTTTAACCGATGCTGACACGGAGGAAGACGGCATCGGCACCCCCTTTGAATTAGTGGTCCCAGTGGCGGCATGGCTAATCTGGTCTTCCACGGGCTTTCTTGAACGACGGCGGCCCCTGTTTATGTGCCTTTCACAATATTTTTGGTCAGCAACAGCATCCCGGGAACAACGCCATTTCTTTCCATCCGTTCGACGACACCTCCCCCGCTCAGGGTCAGTGTTGCCGGTGTACCGCAGATGGAAAGAACCCCATCCCACTACATAAAAAATTTAAAACAGGAAAAAGTGAAGGCCACTCAATGATCAATAATAAAAACAAAGGAAGCAAAAAGGAAAGGAAAAAGAAAAAAAATATTTTACATCAAACCCAGTTCAGTGTTAGCTGAAATTTATTTTCATTTCTGATAGCAGGCTTTGGATAAAACTTTTTATCAAATATAAACAGATCACTGCACAAAACTGTAATACCAGTTCCAGTATCTATACACTAAACAAGAACAGCAGCAGATACCTTCAAAAATTGAAATGAAACCCAAATATAAAACTAAAAACACACTAATGACCAACAAGGGTTCTAAGTCAACCACATGATGTGGGAGACAGATTATTATCATTTTAAGGAAAGATAAGAATTTTACATGAATTATAAGGCAAGGATCCAGCAGATGAGCTGGTGAAGCCATAAGGGTAGAGGGATTTCTTCAAAGGAATGAGCAAATTTGAAGGGACAGGCACATTAGACGTGATGTACTTGTATATCAATGCCTGGGATTTTAGCTCATTCCACTGAAATAGAGTAAAAGGTCCTTCAACCCCAATAAAAAACTCATGCAAGCCTGCATTCAGGCTTCCGGAACCATAACCTGAAACAAGACATTGGAAGGTTAACTTTTCTGAAACATTTACTGACACTACATATGCCATGAAACTTGTTTTGGCAACTATTATCCACTGTAAAAGTAAAGAAATACAATAAAAGACCAGAAATCTTTTCAACGGTAAGAAATGTAGGTATTCTATCCCCAAAACAAATGGTAAAAGTATAAAGTTTGTAAGAGGAATAAAAACTTCATTTTTCAACAAAATGCCTATGAAACCCGCGAAAAATAAGGTGCTATCGGTTTTGTTATTTGAAAATTAACTAAAATATTATTATTTTTACCTAAAACATCAATTTTTTTAATATTTCCTGTAAAAGTACCCAACAATAATAAAACTGGTAGAAAAAATAACAAAACCGGTAGCGTTTTACCAAATCCGGTAAAACGCCCAATAATAAAAAAAAACGGTAGTGCCTAATAAAGTTTCTAATCATTTTTTACCGGTTTTGTTATCACTTTTTTTAGCCGTTTATTAAGGTTGTCGCACGTCAGCATTTCCAATTAAAGCCTCATAGAAACAAGTCGACTTAACTATCTACCTGACTCAATTTCAATTCTACAAAATATAACTCCATCTTACAAAATGTTTATAAAAAAATCACATCGCCAAATACCAATTTCTTTTCTTCGTAAAAAAACAAAAGCTTTTAAAAACAGAAGGAATAAATAAAAGACGCTACCTGCATTTCTAGTATTCATAGAGGGTGTATGTTGATAACAAGAGAAATCACTGTTTTGTCTACTTGTCTCTAAAAAGCTACCCTCTTTCCCGGTACAATGAACTTCAGATTTGAGCAAAGATAAGTTAATCATATGGTCTTGTTGGCAAGCTTCAGTAAAGACCAAAGAATTAGATATCAACAAAGGAGTGCCTTGGTGCAATGACATTGTCTTTGAGGTTGACAAGTCATCAGTTCTCGGTAACTTGAAACTTTTCCAGTGATCTTCTTCGGCTGAGTCCGAAGATCTTTCTTGCTTGGTAAACCTAGATCCCAAAAGCATAGGTTTGGACTCAGCTGAGAGGAAAGTTTGAGTTGGAGATGGAGATGGAGCTCCATTATGAGGACCCACAATACCATCCAAACCCAGAACCCCAAAATCCATATTGAAGATAGAACCAATCCAAAACAGACTCTACAAAGCATGAGTTGATGATGACATGGAAGAGTTGAAAGTTGAAGGCTTGAAAAACAAGTGTTTGAAGATGGAGAAAGGGAGACGCATCTTAAAAAAGGGACGAAGGGGAGTGTTATGTTTCACTGTTCAGATCGGGTTTTTGTGATGGGAAAACAAAAATATAATTCGAAGAGAGTGTGAAAGAAAAGGATAACGGAGGGAAGGGAGCAGACATTGGTATACTAGAATAGTACCACAACCAACCATGCAACATCTCAGACATGTTACCACTTATTTATCCATGTTTTTCTTTCAAACTCAAAAAACAAAGAACCCGTTGCTTTCAAGGAAAGCTCAAAGTTACAAAACTCTCCTTGTCATAAACAGTGTTCAGATTTTTCTATCATTACCATCTAATCCTTTGATCAAATAATCTCATCAGGTTTTATACAAATTTGTTATGTTTCTTTCCTTTTTAAACTGTATTATCCTTTAAATTTTATACTTATCAAACATTCTAGTTATACTAAACTATTAATTTTAAACAAAATATTAAATAAATTTATGATTTAAGTTAAACACGTAATTCCTTAGTATTTAACTTTTTTTTTAATTTACTAAATAATACCTTAGTCTTTAACAATTGTAGGAAGGCCTCATTGGCATAGTTACATGTAATTCTTAATTATAGAGATATTAGTTTTCTTATTTCCGCTTAATTTATTTATTCATGGTTGGAAAACAGTTGAAAATTAATTTTAGGCTTAAGGTTTTGGATTCATATATATTTTTTAAATAATTCTAATTCAGTACACTTAAATTAAAAAATAAACTCAATTGGTGATGATATAATTATTTTATGAAACAGATATCAAGATTTTGATGGCATAAATTAATGGAACATATAATAACTTGTTATTTAATACATATTGCAATTAACACTTTAATCAGTGATTTATCAATATTTATGAATTTGTATATACATCCCCAATCATTTGCTAATTTAATTTGAATCATAAATCATTTTCTAGGATACTAGGTCATGCATCTGAAAATGGATATGGGTTAGAGTAATTAACCAGTTCTGAATTGCCATAATACTCGAGTTTCAATGCAATTCAATCTGTGACCTTGTTTTGTTATTTTATGTTTAAAACTGAATAAGTTTTTTTCATTTAACTGACTAATGTTTAATAAAATACCTTTAGCTAAATTAGTAATGAATTTATACAAGTATAGATAAAAAGAATATTTCAATGTATTCTTAAATTTTAAGATAAGGCTTTATAAGTTTAGCATTATACGGGGTTTATGAACTTTTTTAGTAAAAGTAATGCAACAGTGAGCTTTGGCAATTAATAATGGTAAATAAAACAACAATGGAAGTGATGAATAATCGAAATTCAAGCCTTATTTAACTTGTTTTGCATTCTAGGTTTATATGTGCATGCTTGCGACTTAAGTAAAGGATTATTTTTAATCTCTTATTTTTTTCTAGGATTATTCTTGAAACTAAACTTTATCGTTCTTGAGATCAACGAATCAACGACGGAGTTAAAAATTTATTAGAACGGGAATTAAAATATTTTTTATTTTCTATAAATATAATTTATTTTAATTGAGGGAACTTGATAAAATTTTCATTATTTACTTTCTAAAAATATTTTTCTATATTAATTGATAATTAAAAATATAATTGACAGAACCAAGGCTCCCCTATGTTCCGCCCATGCTTGGAATGATTGTGGGTCCAGTCTTTTAATAACAATTTTTTCTCTTCAAATATTTTAACCCAATGTTCACTATTTTATAATATATTAGCATAATTTTAGAGAGAGAGAGAGAGAGAGAGAGAAATGCCATGAAGATTCGTCACCAAAAATAATAAATTTTCCTTCCTACCACATTTAAATTATTACTAAATTTGGAGAAACGTACTGCTCATATCATATTCATTTTTGGTGCTTAACATGTTCAATCTTTTATGATCATAAATAGAAACGGTGTTAAAAATAAATTTGGTATTATAGGACCTATTTCTTAAAAGCAATGATTAATATCCAACCAATACTTCTGCACCAAATCATTTAGGTTGTGTTTAGTTTTATGGGTTGATCCACAAAACTAATAATTTTTACATTAATTTATAATTTTTGAATTTAAATAAATAAATAATTTAGGTTTAATTAAAATTTATAACTTATAAATAAATATCTTTTAACCCACGTTAAAATCTATGTAAATACAAAAATAGTTTTAATGATTAAATCTCCCATTTTAATACAGATTCTCATGTGTATTACTTTTATATTATTTATCATATTTTTATTATAAGAAAATAACATACTTTTTAATTTTTGAAAATAGAAAAAACTGAAAATTAAAGATAAGAACAGAAATCAGATAGATCATTTTATATTCTTCACCTACTATGTCTAACTCATTTGAAACCTTATTTTTGCCATATATATATATATATATTCAGTTCAAAAATATTATTATTATTATTATTATTATTATTATTATTAATTAATTAATTAAACAATAATGAAAGCATTTGTTAGTAAAACTTTATTACTGGATATATATGAAAAATGTTAGGAAACCTTATCTTTATCAAATATATAATTGTGTAAATATTCAATTAAAAATATAGCATTTTTATTATTATTTAAAAAATAATGAAAGCGTTTGTTAATAAAATTTTATTCTTTTACAACTCAGATCAAAGTATGATGAATATCCCATTCAAACCCAATGACCAATAAATAGAGTGGTCCAACTGAAACGAAGAACTCACTCGAACTTCCCAATTATGAAGTTGGATTTTTAATTGAAACACCTACTGCTTACTTGCACTCCAAGTATTTTCATCACCACCTTTTATTAATTATAGACAGAATACATGCATATACTTTATTATATTTTTGTTATTTTATGGAGTAAAAAAATAAGATTAACTATTATATTACTATCATGATAGCTAAATAAATTTTTATAATAATATAATTTATTACTTTATTTTTAATTAGGATAATAATAGATTTAATTGGTAGTTTTTATTTGCACTATCATATAGGGATGGGAAGAGTCGTGCAGAAGAGAAGTTGGTTCCATCAAAAGGTGGTCGGTAGTTGATTGGAGCACGTCGAGAGAAGCGGGTATCGTTGGGGCAGGGGTGGCGTCGGGCCTTCCCACAAGAGAAACGCCGAAGATGGACGGAACAAAGGATATACGGTTTTTGTTGATAATATTAGCAAAAGTGTGCATTGTCGTTCGCTTGAAGATGCGTTCAGCGAGTACGGGGTAGTGTTAGATATTTTTATCGCGTACAGAAATGCTAGTAGAGCTGAAAAATAGACTACCTTTGGGTTTGTCCGATTCAACAAGATGTCTAATGCTAACAAAGTAGTGGAAAGGGGAAACGGAAGACGGATCGACGGTTTTTTTTATTAGAGTATTCTGGGAAAGAAAGGCAGAGATGCATACTAATAAAGGATTTTAGGTGTTGTAATGTCTTTTTTGACCAACGAATAAGTTTATGATGAATATCCTAAATTAAGAATTTATTCGAGGAAAATTGAATTTTTTTTGTTTATTTTGATTAAATTGATTTGGGAGTCGACATCGACCTTATGGCTAAGTAGGTCGAATACCTGTAGAATGTCAAAACACCTTTCGGTGCAATTAAGGCACCGAAAGTAGGTGCATAATTTTTTATTTTTTGTATAGATAAATTACAAACTATAGTCACTAAACTTTAGAGTATTTACAAGATTAAGTCCTTAAGATTTAGCTATAAATACCCTATCCCATTTAGCTTCAAAACCATCCCAAAGCATTCTAGCTTTCTTCCAATACTAGAGAGAATTTAGAGAGTTTCTTGACAGTTGTTTTCTCCTTTTTATCGAGAGAGAATTATCATTGTTTTCTCCTTGGTAGATCGAGAGAGGTTGTAATTCCTATTTTCTCATAGTGAAATTCTTCTACCGTTGCCCGTGGTTTTTTCCCTATTTTATTTAGGGGTTTTCCACGTAAATTTTGTGTCTCTTTTTATCTTCATTTTTATTTTCTCAAATTATCAGTTGCAATTTTGCTCTATCTGATAGCCGTCTTCCGCAACAATTGGTATCAGAGCTAGATTAGAGTGTGTAATATCTGCTTATTGTCTTTGTGGTTGCCACCAAAAGGTGGATCCTCCAACATAAGAAAATAAGAAGTTATTACCCATTCTTTAAAGGTTCCAGAGAACTATTCAAGATAGTGAAATAGTGGGAGCTATCCGTAGAAGAAGCTATGGCAACGAAATTTGATATTGAAAAATTCAATGGGAGAAATTTCTCATTGTGGAAATTGAAGATGAAGGTCATCCTAAGGAAAGATGGGTGTCTAGCGGCTATCAATGAAAAGCCGGTGGATTTCGCAGATGACATCAAATGGAACGAGATGGACGGGAATGCTATGGCAAACTTTCATCTAGCATTAGCAGATGAAGTATTGTCAAGCATCGAGGAGAAGAAGACAGCTAAGGAGATATGGGATCATCTCATCAAATTGTACGAGGCCACATCGCTGCACAATAAAATTTTCCTTAAGAGGAAATTGTACACTCTCCGTATGCCAGAATCTACTTCAGTGATGGAGCACTTAAATACACTGAACACCTTATTTTCTCAGCTTACATCCTTAAGCTGTAAAATAGGAGAATAAGAACGTGCTGAACTTCTACTTCAAAGTCTACCGGATTCGTACGATCAACTCATCATCAACTTGATAAACAGTAATGTCACCAGTCTAGTCTTCGATGACGTTGCAGCTGCTGTTCTACAAGAAGAAAATCAGCGCAAGAACAAGGAAGACAGACAAGTAAATCTGCAACAAGCAGAAGCGTTGACAACGATGAGAGGGAGATCAACAGAACGTGGCCAAAGCAGCAGTCATAAACATGATAGATCGAAGTCGAGGAGCAAGAAGAATTTAAAGTGCTACCACTGTGGAAAGAAGGGTCACTTGAAGAATGATTGTTGGAGTCTAAATAAAAACTTCAATCCACAAGGTAATACCGCAAACACTTCAGATGATGGAGATGCTCTATGCTGTGAAGCGTCAACCACCGTGGAAGGCAGAAAAAGATTTGCAGATATATGGCTCATTGATTCGGGAGCGACATATCA